GACTCACATATCTGGACTTCAAAACTTAATATAAAACAACAGTAATTAAGATAGTGGGTACATAAAACAACAGTTTTTAGGACAGTGAGTGCAGACATATAGAGGATATGGATAAGAACAGATATATAGAACCATAAAATAAAATTGAGAGTCCAGATATAAACCCATGGCATTTATGGTCAAGTGATTTTTCATAAGCGAACCAATAAGATTCAATGGAGAACAAGTAGTCATTCTGACAGATACTGCTAGGATAACTTGATAGTCACATGCAAAAGAATGAAGTCAAACCCTTCTCTCACACCACAGAAAAATTACCTAATATGTATAGAAGACCTAAATGTAAGAGGTAAAACTATTATATAAAGCTAATAGGAAAAAAACACAGGGATAAATCTTCATGACCTTAGATTTAGCAATGGTTTCTTAGATATGACAACAAAAACATAAGCAAACAAAGGAAAAAGAGATAATTCAACTTTATCAAACTTAAATTATTTTGTGCTTCGAAGGGCACAATCAAGAAAGTGAAAAAACAACTCATAAAATGGGAGAGAATAACTGTAAATCTTCTATCTGTTGAGGAATTTGGATTTAGAATATATGAGTAATTTTTCCTATTCAATAATAAAAAGAAAAATAACCCAATTTTAAAATGAGCAAAAATAAAATTTTAAGTTAAAAATATTTTTAACGGGCAAAGATTCTGAACAAACAGTTTGCCAGAGAAGATATACAAATGGCCAATGAGAACATGAAGAGAAGCTTGACATCATTAGCCCTCAGGTAAATTCAAACCAAAACCACAGTGAGGTACCACTTCACACACACAATTAGGGCTAGAATAAAAAAGATAACAGCTATTGATTGACAAGGATGTGAAAAACCTGGAACCCTCATGCACTGCTGATGGGAATGCAAAATGATGCAGTTACTTTGGAAACAGTCTGGCAGTTCCTTAGTTAAACATAGAGTTACCTACCATATGATCCAGCAATTCCATGCTCAGGTATATACCTAGGTGCACTGAAAACATGTGTCCACACAAAAACTCATACACAAATGTGTAATATTCATAGCAGCATTACTCATAGAGGCCAAAAATAGAAACAACCCAAATGTTTGTCCACTGTCAAATGAACAAAGTGTGGTATACTTACAAAATGAAAAATCACTTGGCCATTAAAAGAAACGAAGTATTGACACATGCTACAACATAGGTGAACCTTGAAAACATTATGCTACATGATAAAAACAAGTTCTAAAAAATATATATTTATATGATTCCATTCATATTAAATGTCCAGAATAAGCAGGATGTTAGTGACAGAAAGTAGATTAGTGGTGGCCAAGGTGGAATGAGTATTGGGAGTGATTTTTTTTTTTTTTTTTGGAAACAGCGTTTCACTCCCATTGTACAGGCTGGGGTGCAGTGGTGTGAGTAGCCTCGGCTTCCTGGGTTCGGATGATTTTTCCACCTCAGCCTCTGGAGTAGCTGGGACTACAGGCATGCGCCACCACACCCAGCTAGTTTTTGTATTTTCACTAGAAATGGGGTGTTGCCATGTTACCCAGGCTGGTGTCAAACTCCTGGACTCAGGCAATCTATCCACATTAGCCGCCCAAAGTGCTGGGATTACAGGTGTGAGTCACCATGCCTGGCCCAGGAGACATGTTAAAGAGTACTGGGTTTGTTTTGGAGGTGATGAAAATGTTCTAAAATTCACCTTCGTAATGGCTGAACAACTTTATGAACATACCAAGAAACATCAAAACGTACGTTTGAAATAGATTAACTGTGTAGTATGTGAATTATATCTCAATAAGGTTGTTTTCCATAAAAAAAGTAATTTTAAAAATCACCTTTCTTGACCTCACCTTTCATACCAGCTACCACTCCATTTTCTCTGTTCCCCTTTACAAAAAAATCAGAGTTGTCAGACAAGGGAGTTACAAATATGGAAAGGAGAAAAGTAGGATAAATGCTATGGTGTTATGTTGGAATTAAAGGTATCAGTGTGAGAGTGTGTGTGTGTGTGTGTGTGTGTGTGTGTGTCCCCATCTCCTATTTTCCTAGCTGTGTCCACTGAAAGGCCTGGAAGCAGAGCACACTGAGCACTCCATAACATTAAGGAATGACAATAAAGGCACAGTCATTTCAAAAATCAATACAACAAAACTTACACTTTTTTAAAAGTTTTGCCTTCTTCAAAGCATTTACCATAGAAGGTTTAAGTGTTTTAAATTTTCTACAGCCTTTTTGGAAAACCTCCTTTAGTATGGGTCATAATCTTTTGAAAAATCTTAAATGTAACAAACAGTAAGTCACTTAAGGTAGATATTACACTTGAAAATGGCCGAAAGCCCTCAGAAATAAACTCTGATTTACTTTTTATTTTATTTTAATTACCCTCAGTAAATAATGAATCTGTATACTACTAGTTTTAGTCAAAACACATTTTTTAGAAAATCTACTGTGGACCCAAAAGCATCATTCAGGGACTATGTTATCTTCTAATGAGCAGATTTTTATATCTAAAATATGCAATAGGCATTTTAAATACTCACTTCCATTTCTACTGAAAGATCCCAGAGACATATTTGTCCATCGTGGCATCCTGTTACGACTGTGGCCCCATCATCTGTTAAAAGTACTGCAGAGATGCAATGTGTGGGTGCTTTTCGACCCCAAAGAACAATGGGCAGAACAAGGCTGTTTCCTGCCATTATGTTTTCAAACCTGAAAATGTTACAAAAATTGTCAGACATTAAACTATTTCTCTCGAAAACATGTTACACATTTTTGTTATAAAACCAACAATTTGAAAATAATCATACAGTCCTGGGAGTAAATTGCAGCTACTTAAATATTATTTTCAAAAAAAAATAACTAGTTTATCATAACTACTCTAGATTCAGATGCTTACAAAATAATACACAATAAGCACCTGTGGAAAGAAAGGAATAACATGACAATAATAAACAGGTCTTTACCCTAGGCATTCACAGTTTTAAAATTTCATGAAAGGCCAGTGACTTCAGTACCGCATATTCATCTAGGACTTCACAGTTTATAATAATGTATGCTATTTCATTTTGATTCTCAAAACAGCCTTTTGAGGTTGGCAGACTAGAAACTGAGGCATAAACATTACCTGCTCTAGAACACAGAACTAGCAAGTCATAAAACTCAAATACAAATCGGACTTTCAGATCCCAAGTTGCATGCCTCCATTAAAAAAGACAGGCCAAACTGTTCTCAGAAAGTCTGGTACACACCGACTCTACTGTACCACCATGACTAGACAATAATTATGAAGAACTTTCTAAGTCCCGGAAATTCTTCTGAACATTGTATGCGTGTGTTTAAATATAAGTCCATATATAAACTCAATTATAACAAATCTGGAGAAAAACACTATTGTCATGCCTTTTTCATAGACAAAGATACTGAGGCACAAAGTGACAAGAGACAGAGCCCAGATCAGAACCCAGGAAGCCTGACTTCAGAACCTGCGGTCTTTCTCACACTGCTAAGCTACTGATGACACAGGAGGTCTCCAAACCAGTAATAAATACCAATGCCCAAGAAAAAACACAGTCCTGTTTCACATTGTGATAAACATTTTTAAAAGTTTGTTCAGTGAGAAACTCATTCAACCAAATTTGCTGCAAACCTGTTATGCCTGAAGGTCATGAGTCTTTTGTTGTAAACTCTGAACCTTGAGGGAAGAAAAGCATGTCTTTGTAAACTCATTTCTCCACTACAGGAAAAAAAAAATGTAGTTTCCGGTTGAGGGATTTAAATTTGAGATGCTAATCAATTAATCAGAACATACTGGAGTACACCTCTTGCAGGTGAGCACAAATATAAAAAGGTATTCCTTAATATGACAAAATTAAAATCTAATTGGCAAAACAATATTTAGGTATTAAAAACTGTGCTTAAAGACCTGGAAAACAGGAGTTCAGAGAAGTTAAAAAAAAGAGACTGGAATAGTCAAAGAAAGCTGCATAGAAGAGAGGACCGTGCTAAATATCATTAGACACTAGCGGTCACCTATAGCCTGACAGATGGCCAATCAAAAGGTATAATCATTTAAGATAAAATGAGGCAATGGCCAGGTACAGTGGCCCAAAATTTGGGAGGCCAAGGTTGGCAGATCACTTGAGTTCAAGAGTTCAAGACCAGCCTGGCCAACAGGGTGAAACCCCATCTCTAGTAAAAATACAAAAATTAGATGGGCATGGTGGTGTACGCCTAAAATCCCAGCTACTCAGGAGGCTGAAGCAGGAGAATCCCTTGAACCCAGGAGGCAGAGGTTGCTGTGAGCGGAGATCACACCACCGCATTCCAGACTGGGCAACAGAGTGAGACCCTGTCTCAAAAAAAAAAAAAGAAATAAATTATAAACTGAGGCAAGTAAAAAACTGAATGACACTGGAATGCTTACTAAAAACAATTTATATTACATCTTTTATTTTTTGTTAGAAGCAATAGTTTTCAACAGTTTGCTTCCCCAAAAACTTTATCTTTTTTGCTACAAGAGTATACATTTAAAGAAAAAATCAGAAGTCCACTTCTTATTAGTAAAACCCTATTTATGTCATGACAGCTTCATAAATTACCATGACACTAACAATTATTTCCATATTCCTAACTGAAATTCAAAAATAAAACTAGGCTGGGTTTGGGGGTGTATGCCTGTAATCCAAGCAGGAGGGGAGGTAGAGATAGGCAGATTGCTTAAGCTCAGGGGTTCAAGACCAGCCATCTCTACAAAAAATACAAAAATTAGCCAGGCACCGTGCTGCACTCCTGTAGTCCCAGTTACTTGGGAGACTGAAGTGGGAGAATCATCTGAGCCCAGGAGGTGGAGGCTACAGTGTGCCAAGATTGTGCCACTGCACTCCAGCCTAGGTGACAGAGTGAGACCCTGTCTCAAAAAAAAAAAAAAAAAAAAAAAAAAGAAAGAAAAAGAAAAGAAAGTTAAGCACATAACCAATTTTAATCAATTTGGAATAGCATGTTCCTGGCTTAATCATATATCCAACTATGACTTTCTCAAAAAAAGAGAATCTGGAAGGAGTTCACATCACTGGCCAGGCACAATGGCTCACGCCTGTACGCCTAGCACTTTGGGATACCGAGTCAGGCAGATCACGAGGTCAAGAGATTGAGACCATCCTGGCCAACACGGTGAAACCCTGTCTCTACAAAAAATACAAAAACTAGCCAGGTGTGGTGGCACTCACCTGGAGTCCCAGCTACTCGAGAGGCTGAGGCAGGAGAATCACTTGAACCTGTAAGGCGGAGGTTGCAGTAAGGCAAGATCATGCCACTGCACTCCAGCCTAGGTGACAGAGTAAGACTCTGTCTCAAAAAAATTAATTAAATTAAATTAAATTTAAAAATAAATTATATCACCAAAGAAGATTTCTCTCAGGTAAATAAGTGCTAAGCACTGAATACAACATGGTGAGATCTGGAAAGAACACCATTTCTCTAAGCTACTTGGCGACTTGTATTCAGTACGTACGGCCTGGCTTAAACAAAATGCAAACAGATTCAGGACTACGGAATATAGGGTACTAAATGCCCCAAAACATTTTTTTTCTAATACCTTAAAAATCTAACAAAAATGAAACTTTAGAAAAGCCACCAGAATCACTAATAAAATAATGTGAAATAGAGGATAACATGGCTTATGATAGAATAGTATATGACAATCAAATACTTCTAGGAAGGACTACAACCAAATTGGCAACCACATAAACCTAGCTCTAAGCAACGGATCAAAACAAAAAAATGGGCAAATTAGTCAGAACCTAGACATTTCATTAGGTAGATCACAGGAATCTAAGTTCAAATTTCTTTAAAATGAAGAACGGATGAGCCAAGATACACTAAACTGCCAACACAAGAAATTTTTTTAAGGGAAAAAAAAATGGGCAATGTAAATCCAGAGCATGCAGTTTTTCAGCCATCAGCATTCAACCAGTCTATGTATGAGTTAATAATCCATGCTTAATGTTCCCAACATTATCTCCTATTGTAGCAAAAAAGTTAAATATGTTCCAAAAAACTTTATACGAAGTGGAAGTAAGCAGGTCACAGGGCAGGATTTATTGGGATTTTTAAAAAAATCCTATTTTTATGGGAAATGCCAAAAGCAAAAGTGATTGAATGAATGACTAGAATAATCTGTTATGAAATTAACTTTAATAGAAACTCTCAAATAAAATTACCTATTTCTCCAAAATATTATATATATAAAATATATTCATATTTTGCAACTAATACATTGAGGGCACATGCTATCTTTCAAGTTTCAACATGATCTTACAAATAGATATGTTCTTAGACTAGATGCTTCTAAAAACAAAATAATACTAGGAACATTGAGTTTTCATTGACGTTTGTGTCAAAAATCTAGCTTAAAATTACATTTAGACTGCTTATTCAATAAAAATGTTTAAAAGATAAACCTCTAGAGTCAACAAATATCGGCAGTTCTAGATTCTACTTCTCATTTTACCACTAATTATGCAGTCTTTGATGACATAATCTTATTTCTGAGGCTTAGTTCTCTCAAGTTATTAAAATTAATATTGAATCATTTTTAAGTCAACAAATCAAATAAGGAACCAGGGTTCTTAAGAGATAAAATTTTGGTTATCTCTTTTGATTAATTTCAGGTATTGCTTTATTTCCTCTAATTTCACCTACTTCTCAACTCTGTATAGAAATAATTTAAAATACTATGCTCCAGTCAACAAGAGCAACAAAAATAATAACTGAAAGAATGGTGGGCCTACAATCAGAAGACCTATATTCAAATTCTTACCCCTCCATGTGATCTTGACAAAGTTATCCCTCTAGGTCTCAGTTTCCACATCTGTAAAAGATGGATAATAATTTTCTCTTCCTCTCAGAAAGATGTCATAAAGATCAAGAGTCCATATGTACTATATGTAATGCAATAGTACAATACCTAGCACATGGCAGATGCTCAGTAAATATTATTTAAAAATAAAACACACACACACACACAGATTCTGCTGCTTCTTCACATTCTGCTTGCATATCTACAGGTTTCTTCCAGCACTTAATATTTAATAAGGTTGGACTTTCCAACAGGTTAATACCTTTCATTGACTTTCTGCCACAATATAAAAGTATTACTGTGTATGCTTGTCAAACACAATTCAAATTGTACAATTGTACAATGCAAATATAGCAATTTAGTTCTGTATTACTTTATTGGAAATACTACTACCAACTTCCATCCCAAAACTAAAATGGCTTTCAAATTAACTTTCAATCTCCTAATAATAGTATACATTTTAGAGCAGCATTTCTCAGGTTTCTAGTTCATGCCTATACTATGGTAGGTATAAATAAATGACAATAAATAAAATGACACAATTCAGATATCCAGTGGGGCTTACATACATGTAAACAATTACCACAGAGCATGAGACAAGTCTCAAGACACATGGAAACACAAAAGATGGATTCCCTAACCTAGACTTTAATGGGTCTAGGAAGGATTCCTAGAGGACATGATGAATAGAATGAGAAGGAATTAACTACAAAAGGCTCAGGTAATCACATGTTCAAAGAGCCAGAAATATCATCTCAATTCTTTCTGAACAGTAAACACTAGGGCTGACATTTAGAGTAAAAAGACAGAATGGTGAGAAAACAACCAACAGCCAACATACATCAGATCATAAAGGGCTTCTTGGTAAGACATTTTAAAGAGTTTGGACTTTAATTTGACAGCAAAGGGAAGTAGGTACAGTGTTTTAAATCTGACACTGCTTTTCAGAAAGATCACTCTAGCTGTGCTATAATAGAGAGGGATAAAACTGAGGAGCTGAAGACCAACGAGGCTATTGAAGCTCTGCAGGAGAGAAACGGTGGTGCCTAAATCTATCACGATCTCTCATTACTTATTTCTGGGGATCTCTGTTCACGGCTATCTCTACTACTACTCTTTCAGTCTCCCTGGTTACAAGTTGCACACTCTGTGTACTCACTACCAAATGATGCTTAGCACAGTATCTGCCACATAGGACATCTTTAATAAATATATGATGAAGGGTATTCGTGGTGAGAATAGCACTAATAACAATACTGATATGAGAGCTACTTTAAAGATATAACAGATAGGACTTGGTATTCAACACACCAAGGTGATCAGGATGCAACAGGGATTCTGATACAAGTTTCACACAGAGGTACTTGGAGGATAAAAGAAAAGAAAAAGGCAGTTTTAAATACTGGAAAGCTTTCTAAGTAAAGGATGGGCATTATTACAATACTGATGCCCAGGGAAGTATCAATAAATTTAGATTCCAACATGCAAGATAAAGTATTCTATGCTTAACCATAATTTATTAACTCTAGGACTGGGGATGAGAGAAAATACAAGGTTCCACACTGATCTTCAGTTAGGCCACATTGTAAAGAGACTTAAGGTCCAATAGGCAGATATCTACACAGAGAATCAATATGCTCAAACTTTTTGAGATAGTATGAAGGTTGAATTAACACAGAGAAACAACTGCAGACAGAGAAACCAAATATGATGCCACTGCAATGAGCCTGGATATTCAGTGATAAGAAGCTTAGCTAATATTAGAGTACTGAAAGAAAAATAGGAGACTGTACAGAGGAAGAAAAATAAGTCATGGGGGGATTGGTAAAATATGTAAGGCCACAGACAAGAAGACTATTATTTCCCAAACTGGGTGGTAAAGAAAGACGTAGGAGGGAAGCACAATGAGATGGTGGAAGGAAAGCAAGAGCAATGACGCTAAAGAGGAAAAGAGAAATAAACTGGCCTTTAAGAAATTGTAACTCGGGAAGTATTTTCATAAAATGATACTGGAGACCTCAACAAAAATTGTCCCACATGAATGGTAAAAAGGCAATGAGCCTTTGCCAAACCAAGCCATTTCAAAAGTTTACGAAATAACACTCTGTCTCCTGCTGTTTTGCCTTTATTTTTTATATTTGAGCATTTAAAAAAGAAAGGCTTTTATATTTGGGGAACAAAATACCTTGGCTTCCCAGTCTCGAATGGAGAGAAATATAGCTTGTTACCATCCTGGGGATGTTTTATTTGGGTGGATATTTAGGTCTGTTAGCAACTCTCTCAAGATCACACAGCAAACTGATCTCAGAGCTCAGAGGCAAACACAGATCTCCTGGGTCCAATGAAACACTTTTCACTATCCTATATTGTCTTCATTTACCACAAAATTCCATTTATCAGAAAGCTTCATTATCCAGGCATTCTGGTTAATCAAGATTTTGCCAAAATATAGTACTCATTAAAAGATAAATGGAACTACAGTGTTCACAGATAAAATCACGGGATGTCTGTGATCAGTGGCTCTTGGGAGAGGGAAGAAAATATGGGCTAAGAGGTGCTGGAAGGAAGGAAGATGGAATAGTATCCTAAATATGATGCATGCTATGTGCCCAAATCTTCCTTCAGGAAAGAAGGACCCAACGGCTGAGAGAGCTCCTGGCAGACAGGTCCAGATTGTCAGCACCACTAAGCACTGCCTCAGCCCAAGAGAGATGTCTTGTCCAAGCTCTTGTACCCTTCCCATGGGACAGCCCACATCTTGTGATGGATCAATATGGAAATATAAAGGCCAGACCCCCTCACAATTCAAGATATCTCTGAAGGGTCATCCCATCTTCAGAACTTCCCCCAGGGTCAATTGAGACTCCTTTGAGATCCATCACCACTCAACATTAACATGGGGCCAAAGCTATTTGCTTTCCCTAGGTATTGATCCTAAGAGCACTCCCTAATAAGCCTGAGTCTCCATCTCAAAGTCTGCTCGCCAGGGAACTCAAACTGTGAAAGTCAATATCGAAGCTCTTTTTGGTGCAAAAGTATTCATTATACTGTTCTATTTTTATATGTTTACAAATTTCTATAATTTTTAAAGGGTACCTGGAAAGAACTTCGATATCCACAAATCAGGGATTAGTTAATACATTATGATAAAGCTTTACAATGGAACACTGCAGTATGAGATATAAAACAAACACCAAAACATAGTGGGATACACACACACACACACACACACACACACACACACACACACACTTTGAATAATTCTGGAATGACAGCGAACAAACAAAAAGCAATAATAATGACTGCCTTTTAAGAGGAAGAATAGGAGGAGGAGACTGGGCTGAGTAGAAGTCCTAATTCTCAACATAAATTCCTGGTTTGTTGTTGTTGTTGTTTTTGCATCACCATTGTATTTTCCATTATAATACAGTTAAATAAAGGAAGAAAGTGGCCTAGATACACCAATTTCTTTTTTTGTTGTCTATTTTTTGAGATGGTGCTTTACTCGTCACCCAGGCTAGAGTGCAGTGGTGCAATCTCGGCCCACTGCAACCTCTGCCTCCCAGCTTCAAGGAATTCTCCTGCCTCAGCCTCCTGAGTAGCTGGGACTACAGGCCACCCACCAACAGGCCCAGATAATTTTTATATTTTTAGTAGAGACGGCGTTTCGCCATGTTGGCCAGGCTGGTCTTGAACTCCTGACCTCAGGTGATCCACCTGCCTCGGCCTCCCAAAGGGCTAGAATTACAGGCATCAGCCACCATGCCCAGCCACACCAAGTTCTTTTGTTTTAAAGTTGTACATATGCACACAACATCGGGTTTTCAAAATACATTTAGGTTTAACAAGTATTTATCTTCAGGTTATAATCTTTTTAAATGTTAGCTCCTTCTACTGTGAGTGTCCGGTCCTAAACCGCATCATTTCCTACTCCTGCTACTCCTATTTTCACTATACCTTCCAAATGCTTCATGCATAACACTCATTCATCTGTTCCACTACAGCCTGTTTCTCAAGGATAAAATCTATACATCCAGCACCTTTGTTATCTAAGCATTATCAAGCAAACTGCGTATCTGCACCTAAAACACTGACTTGTACTAGTGGTCAGTATGTATTTATTGAATGAATAAACACAGAGGAACAGCAACCAGCATTTCTTAAGCCCTCACTATGTGGCAAGGGCTATAATAAGGGTTTCACATAAGGCTCTAATTTAACTCTTTTGAGGAAAAAATGTCTCTTTAAAAAAAAAATCTAACTCCTCCTGAACCACTGCAAAAATCTTCCTCCCTTAATTATGTTTTCACCATCTACCATTTCAATCTATTTTATAAGTTAGCCTTTGCCCTTCAAACATGTCTACATTTCATTTTTAGCCAAATACCTTCCCTGGCCTCTACTTGTAAATTTAACAATCTCTCTCTCTCTCTCTCTCATTACAATTAGCATTTTGAAACGTGGTCTTTAACTTGGTGCTTCCATTTCCTTAGTATAAAAGGCCTCATGTACTCTAGTCTCGGCTCTCAAAAAGACTTAATTTAAGGACACTCAAGATCTCCCACTACATGAAGGGGTCAACAATCTTTCTAAAAAGACACTCCAGGGCTGAACTCTCCAATATTGCAGAGACAAGCAATGCCTCACAAGAGAAGTGAGGAAAGAGGATGCTTTGACATTAATCGATCGTTGATAACCTATCCTTCCTAAGTTCAATTATCTTATACATGCTCTATAGCTGCTAGTGTGAAGTTGCTGATTTTTTGCAATGCACTCTTTTTTTCTGGTACAGCAGACTGTCCCAATTATCTTCTTCCTATTTTCTCAGCTTTTTTCTACCTAGACACATAAAGGCTTATAGAGCCCTAAGAAAAATTCAAAAGACGTAATCCTGTTAACCTCAAGTTAGTTCGTTTTTTTTAAATTCGATGTGCCTTTTAAAAACTTAAAGTGAAATTACCTTTTGCCTTGTGATTCCTCCCAAATTTTTATTATGAAAAATCTCAAATATA